TCATCGAAGGTTGGTTTTCTAGGAGCACCAGATTCTTTCCGCATCACCCACTGAATCACTATATGACTCAATCTTCCAGGGGTGAATGCCTATATTTATATAGTTCCATGTGAATGCCCCCACCTCCATCTTCCAAATATCTTTGGGTCGTGACACCTCCTTCACCACGCTACACCCAAGTGGCACCGTACTGGACCTCCTTTTTGGAACAATCACACCATACTGGGGAAAAAGGTGCACCGACGGCATGGCTGCAAAAGGTGTTTTGCTCAGACTTCTACAAGCAAGCCACTTGAAGCCTTGAAGCATTTGGTTGAGGGACCAAGCATCATGTGATCAAACGTGAAGCTGGTGTGGGCCAAGCCTTCTTTCGCTCGTCTTCACCTCCAAGCGCTCGGCCTCAAAAAACGCGGTTCGATGGCTTGAATGGGCTTGGTTTGGTCTGGTGAGGGTTCGAACGAGCGTAACAGAGCTACAGTAAACGCTAGCATAATCAGGGGCTCAATAGGGCTCAAATCCTAACACAGCTTGCTTTCGTGCGGTGCTTCTACAAACGCCTGAAAACTGCTACACTTCCCGATGGTTCCCGGACCTCCCGGACACAACTTGCCTGATGCCTTACTCACGCGTCACCGCACGTCACCTAGAACTCAGCCCAATAGACGAACTCTTTGGCGAGTGCAGACGTTTCTCCAACTTCAATTCACCGAACCAGACCCCCCCGCGACCACAAACCTGCAAAACCCACTTCCGACTGACCGCAACGAAGCAACTGCTTCCTCAACGAACCTCATCTCCTCTCCAAGAGGGGCAAATCCACGAGCCAGTGAAATCCGATCTTTGGTGTTGGTCATTTGCTTCACACACCACGAAACGGGTCAGCATGAACTCCGGTTCAGACCGCCACTGGTGGTCTAACAGAAGCTGCATCTTCCAACCCATTCGGGTCCACGTTTCGTCGTTTGGAGGATAAGTATGGGTAAGTACTGTAACTTAAGTCATGTCGAATCTTCAAACAAACATAAGCATGGATGGTCAAACCTCTTCAGGTTTGGGGACTTGAAATAAAACTGGAAACAACAACAACAACTATACGACTTCTACATGATGTCAAACTATGTCAAACTCTTGTATCTCTTTCTGTCTGTGCTCAGCTGCCTCCTCGGATGCCGTCATGGCCATCCGTGCCCTAGCTAGCAGCTCCTGGTGTGCTCGCCAGTGGCTAGGAGAGACCAGTGCTCCGATCAATAGTACTGTGTGAAAGAAAACGTCAAATACACTCCTCATAAAAATCATGGAAGTGGATGGCATGGCCCCTTGACTATTTTCCTCTATATACAAACACCTGGTTTTCCACATCCGAGATTATTTCAGCAAGTGTAGGTGCTCATCCGTTTTCGATTGTGTTCGGCTTGTTTGCGGCTCTTTAGGATGGGAAAATCCAGGGCAGGATGGCTTATGTGGTAACATCAGGCATGAACCAGTGCATTTACAGGCTAAACGTGATAGGCTCATTGGTATTTCCATGGTCATAGACATCGGTCGGCGCTACACAATCTATGTGGAGCAACCACAGAAATGCAAATCATTTGCAGGTGGCGGTTTAGGAGTATGATTATTGATGGGACTTTTGGTATTGGTCTATTAACTATACCACGTCCAACAAATGAACAAACTTATCTTTGGATTCTTCCAGAGAATGACCAGAGGCGTTTGGAGTTGGCCCTCACGACATAACCGGAGCCCGGAGCCAATAAACTAACAAAACACACACTCATCGTAGCATCTTGTGGGAAACTGGTCTGATATACCTGGTGCCCTTGTGACTGCAACCCACGTCCTGATCAAGCTGTTCGAAGTTGCCCCTGAAACTGCATCTTCCAACCCACCATTGGTTCCAAATTTGGGGCATCTGGGCAAGTCCACGTCCAACGCCAGCGGACATGCCTTCGGAAGTCGACTTGGACGGGGAAATGGAAAAGCACATGAGCAAAATAAGTCCCTTTAAAGAACTTGGCTTCTTAGTGAAGGGATGTTTCTCAAAAGTGAGTGGACTTAAAACGGCTTTAGAAGATTATTCGCCAGTGATTGCCAAAGAACAACGGCTGCCCAAAAACAAAAAGAAAAACATTAGGTTTGGTCACCTAACTGCTGTGACCAAACAGAATGGAATTTACTATCATATCATATCCCTTAAATCATGTTAATCATAATCTATTACACTTGTACATACTTGTACAACATTATACTGGATGGGTCTCAATGCCACCGCTTTGGAACTCCTTGTGCCGACTGGTGGTCCACCCCACTCGCCCCGCCCGTGCTCTCCTTGCCACGCAAGGGCTTGGCCATCCAGTCGTTGCACCCTGCCCGCACGGCTTCTGCCCTGGAGCCGGTCGTGGTAGCAAACGACTGTTTCAAAAGGTCAAGGGAATAGGAATCAACCATAATCAACCTGTGGTCCAGTGACTCGGAAGAATCGGTGGCATTGCTGGTGTGAGATGAAACCTGCACCTTTCTGTCTTCCACTGTCTTCCATTTTCCTTTGGGACCTCCTTCCATTGTCCTCCACACCTCGCCGGGGGTATGGCGCCGGTTCCAAGCATCACTCTCTAGCTCTCAGTCCTGGGAATTGCTGCGATGAGGATTTTTTTAAAAAAAAACACTTCACCTTCAAGTTCCAAATGCTCTCTGATCACCCGAAACCTCCAGCATCCTCCAGCCCCAGCCCCAGCCGCACCACGTTCCGCACCCCGTCCAGAACACCTAGACCGTGCCCCACGTTCCGCCCTCCCGTTCGGGTCGTCTCGGGTCCCACACATGGCGCCGAGCGAAGGATCGCTCGAGACCACGAGCATCGGCAGCCTCGCACCCGAGGAAGGAGCGGAGCGGCACAGGGAGAAGGGAGCACGGTTCTGGTTCTGGGCATGCAGGATCTCGGCATGGATCAGGGGTTGTGTGTACCGGTGGGTTTCCGAACAGCCCTTGGGTTGGACATGGCAGCTTGCAGGTTTGGCCAGTTTCGCCCAGCCAACAGGTGTTTCCATGTTCCTCATGCCTTCAATGCTTGCCTCCGCAGGCTTTAAAAGGAGTAATCTGCCACTTCGAGCGATTGAACCATGTTAGGTTTTGTGGCCAATCAGCGGCCTCCGTAGGTGGGAACGTCATCAATTCTCTGCAGAATCTACATCACCTAAAATATCCAGTATTCCAGGTCCAGGATCTCCAGGATCAGTGGAAGACCTGTGAACTCTTGAAGCTTTCAGTGAATCCATGTGACTTACGATTTTGACGCCAAGTTCAGCCAAAGCCTGAGCCTCCCAAATCTGGAAGCAGCATTTTACCCTCTGGACCCTTGATCCTGTGACTGTCGCACTGAAGAACTAAACAAACAAGAAGCTCCAACCACATCACCACATCCTCCAAAAATATATAGTGATATATATATATATAGCTTTTTGTAGTACCTCCAAAATTAACCCCAACCACCTCAGGAGATAGTTGAAACCCTGCAAGAAAGATCCTCACTCGTGCGAAACAAGTTTTCAGCTGAATCGTCTTCCACATGCCGCAGCCGATTGGAGGGCTAACACCTTTCCCAAGCAAACTCAATGGGACCAAACACCTCCAGCACAGCTCCTTGCAGCCACAGGGCTCCAAATAGGAGAAGCGCTGACGGATCCACCGCAGCAAATGGCACCCCTGAGAGGTCAGCGCTGGATCCAGCTGTCCCAAGGCCACGCATTTTTGGGTGGGATTGGAGAGGAACTCAGATTCCCAAGTTCCGGGGTGTCAAAAACGGTAAGGAAGGATTTGGATGAGTTTGGGTACAACTTTTGCCCGACTATGCGGGAATCTATTGACCTATGGCCCACCAAAACCTAGCCCGTCTGTTTAGAACCCAGTATGCTCGAATGAAGAGAGCAGGAGCAACAAAAAATATGCTGATGCAATCTGGCTGAACATAACACAAACTTGAGTAAGTATATCCCGGAGTCCCTTGCCCATAGGGTCCAGCTAGTACAAACATGCTGAGTCTTGAATGCTCGGTGTGCTCAAACTGGAGGGTAAGTTAGATTATGTTCATGGACTCTCCCCAAGAGCTGATCTCTCTATATATATATTGCTAATATTTCATACACAAAATGCATGCATATCAACCTTATGCTCGATACGTTCCTGAAGGAGGCCACTCTCCGGGCAAGCATTCTTCCCACGCTCCGCTGGTGAAACACGCCCCTGATCGCCGCTTTGCGGTCGTGGGGGTTCCTTGGCGGGTGGTCCTTGGCGGGTGCCTTCGATCCAGAGTGTTTCCAGGTCTTTCTGCTCGGGTGAGTAGTAGAACGTGTTGGCCACCCATACACCCCACTCCAAGCAAACCAAACTAGGGTATAGCCCCAACTGGAAATCATGAACACGTGGTATCACTTGGTAGCCTATGGTAGCCTGGTAGCATTTTGGTCAATCACACTAGTTCACGCAGCCTTGCTCAAACACCCGTATGCAGGATCATGGCAGCCCCGACTAGGCAAAGACTCAAGAAACCGAAGAGACTCATATATAGAATATGAAAGGATGTTAGCCACTGCCCTGATTATCCCCGATTCTGTGTGCTCCCCCTTGTCAGACCCACACTCACAGGGGGCCCCTGAAAGCGAGAAGTCAATGTACATGACCTGCTCCGGAGCAGTTGTACTCTCATAACGCGATCGTCATCGGTATCCAAGAAACGTTGAAGTGGATAGTGTAGCCGTGTAGCCTCCATACTTCCCTACGACAAACAGGGGGCTTGCCCACTTCCATGTTTGTTGGGGGGAGGGCATTCTTTCAAACATTCCAGAGCTTGTAACCAACTGGGACTCTTCCCATGCCATGAGGAAGTCTTGGAGTTAAAATCCCTCTGGAATGCCGACACTATGCTACTGTACCCACACTGACGCGGCACATGCAGTCATCGCTTTGAAACAAATTATCCTCCGTGGACCTTCAAATGAAGGATTGGACAACACCCTACAACCTGCCCTAGGACCACCCGAAACATCAAACTGGCCATGGCCTCCCTCTGGCGCAGTTCAGAGGGGCCTAAGATGCGCACCAGGGCTCAAGAGTAAGTTCTATGTTCTGTGGAACCTGATCAGCAATCGTCTCAGTCGTGAAGCACACCCTGCATGCAGTACTCGGCGCCAGTGGTGTGGTAAACTCCAACTCACTGGATTACGAACAGGGTCGAGGGTGTCCACTTCCATGTTTCGTGAGCCGGAGTAAATTCCTGTTTGATCCAAATCTGTGATGCGGTGTGGGGTCACGTCGCTTGGACCATCCCTGGAATAGCGCCATTAAACATGGCCTGTCTGCCGTCATTGATCCCATAGAGGCTGTTATGTGATGTGTATACCAAAAAAAAATATATATATATATATAAAACATATTTGTATATATATATATATCACTACAATATACTACAATCATCATGGTGCAATTCCCACTCCGAATGGGATTATAAGTTTGGATGTATGCAACATGATGCCAGCTCTGGGCTTGTGCAAACATAGTAAAACGAAACTGACCTTAGTGGTTTTGTGTTTCTTGTGAGTCCGAGAAGTTGTGTTCTTGGTTTTGTCAAATTGACCCTCCAAAACACCTAGAAGAGGGATAACATGCTCTTATCTCTCAACCAACCTCTCGCGATTCACATGGTTACTTTGTGGGGCCCACGCCCCCCACGGTCCCAACCACCCATGGGGCCCTGCGCCTCATGGGACCACTTGCCGCGGCCGTTGCGCCGCCTTGCGGAGGAGTTCGTCCGTGAACCCGGGCAGGTCGTAGTAGCCAGGCCCAGGACGGCCTGGTCCCGAAAGCGCCACCGGGAGACCAGTCTGAGGGGGGGTTAGCTGGGTTTGGTGCTGGTGGTGGTGTATCCACCCCGCACAAATGCATGAAAGAGTGCTCACGATATGTCTATATATATATATATATAAAGGCTCTAAAACCAGTAGCCAAGGATGTCCAACGCTTACAAGCTAAACTTGGGGAGGCATTCAGCAAAACACAAGCACAAGCAAGCAAACACGCAACAACAACAACAACAACAACAATGACAACAACAACAACAACAACAACAACAACAACAACAACACGCGTTCATGTCATGCGGCGTGAAAACCGTTTTCAAGTAGCACAACAAGAGTCCGGCTTCATCCAGCTCGGTTTTCTTTTTCAACAAATGTTCAACAAACATGTTGTCCCTGCTGTTGTCTATTTGTCAGTCCAGCGCACGTCAATCACCACCCACGAACAAAATTACGGACATTGTCATGTCACAACAAAGTTGTTTTAAGAAATAACGTAACAACACTGCCAACTCCAAAAAAGCTGCCAGTTGTGCAGGGGTATTTGATTTTATCAGCTGTCTTGAATTTGGACCTTTCTGCATTTTCTATCATTTTCTGCATTGTTTGCGTGTGTCAACATCTGCATGGTCCATGGTCACAATGAATAATTATGTAGCCTTCTCCCAAAAATGTTTGGAACTGAGCGTGTTCTCTCTTCACTTCCTCCAAATAGTTCAACTATATTCCAATTATCACATGCCGCTTGGTCGCGTGTCTCTTCCAACGTCTGGTTTGCTCCAAGCGTCGCTCGTAGCGCTGGGCAGGGTCCCGGCGGGCGCCGAAGCGTGCCGAGGCCGACGAGAAGTGCTGCGACAACGGTTGCTTCGTGGGCAGCGACGCGTCAGGATTCCTGGCCGAGCGAGAAGGAGAGCCGCGGGTGAGGACTTTTTTGGGGAGATGGTCTTCCACACAGTCTAGCACACTTTCGATTGGAAACGGATGTGTTTGTTTTTTCTGCATCTTGAGGCTGAGGTACCATGCAGGATCACAGCCAGCAGCAAAACGGGAGAGCACGGAGCATCAACTAATCCAGGTGATATTTGTGAATGGAAGCAAACTCACAATCAGGGGGTTCCCCAGAGTTACGAGCGATCGCGAAACGGACAAGGAAGAACCAGATAGGGACAGGATTGACGAAAGTGACAGAGCCACAGAATCCGCTAAACCTTCCTAGGCCGAACTCCTGCAAAGAAGAGATGTGCTTAGCACTGAGAACATTAATGCCTTGCAACTTCCAAATCCATCCTAGGGCAGATCTAAACATGCATACGGAAGCATGCAGTGACTTACACTGCACGAAGTGGGTATGTACAGTCGGAGAGTGACTACAGAAAGCGAGGAAAAGCAACAGCCATGGGACGCGGGGTCCTTCCGGTTCTGAGGATATCAGCCATTCTGTCTGAGTCCCAAACATCAATAAGTCTCGAGCTAAACCCACAGTCAAACGACGTTGACACTTGGCAAGCCTGTCAGGGGTGATGTCAACATGGAGTTTCCGATTTCGAGGGTCAGCGGCAAAAGCCAGAGTGAAAATCGGGTAATGATGCTTGATATCCTCAATATGCTGTTGAGTCAGTGTCTGGTTCAAAAAGGCCTGTACAAATTGATGTTCGGGCTTTGCAACAATTACCGATTGAGACTGACACGTGCAAACGTTTTGTTTCCCGCGCAAACGGGTTCGGGGGGCACAGGTGCACGCGTATGTTTTGGAAAGATGGGGAAACACTACGTTTTCTTCGTACGCATTCTGACTTTCGTTTGGCAATACTGTCGAAAATCGACGGCGCAAAGTCGAGATGATGTGAACATGAGTGGCGACAGCTGCTGACACGGCATCGTCTCGCTCAAGCTGGCGAGATTCCCAACACTCTTTGGCACAACATTTTGCCAGCCTGTCGGCCTCAGAGTTTCCACGAGTCCAGTGATCCGGCTGTTGTAAATCACCAACACGGCAGTGGGCCTTAACTTTGATTATTTCAACCTGGCCGGATCGGTTGCGAACGTGAGTGCAGATTAAAGCCCACAAATCCCGATTGTCCAAGCACTCAGCCTTGAGCAACCGAAAGTGAACTTGTTCAAGAAGGCGAAAGCCGGCGACAACATTTTGACAGTCGGAAGCGATCACAACATCTCCGGTTGTAGCCAGTAGGGCCAACAAAACTGCGTAGTGTTTGATTCTTTGGGTGAAGGGCTAGAAATTGATAGTCGAAGAAAGGAAAGGCGAGAGAGAGAGAGAGAGAGAGAGACAAAGAGAATGACCAGGTGGAACTAAGCAACTGGATCAGGTTTTTGCCCGCCGTGTGTCTGTCAAATTCACCTGGCACGTTGTTGAGTTTGACCATGTGTCAAGCATGCTCCAGCCAACATGTTTTCTGGATGGTTGATGGTCAGTCTTCAATAGTCACCTGTTCTATGCCAACGAATATTGCAAATAGTCCAATCTTCCGCGAATGATGGTTGCTATCATGTGCCAGGCATGTGTAGAGAATTGATGTCTAAAAAGAAGGTGGCAAGAGATTAAGCCCCACCAAACGACCAGCAAGGGTGTTGTCACGACATGACAAATCAATGGCACTCGAGGTTGAAATTGCCGGATCGATATGCAAGTGAAATGACGGAGCCAGATCCCAAGAGCCAAAATGAAAAAATTCAAAAGACAGTGATAAACTACCATTACTTGACTTCGAAAAGTCCTGACTGGTCCGCACCGTGGCACTTCAAGGCATATTCACGATGCACGGGCAATTTTTCGTTTGCAACATTGCAAGCAAGGCTGTCTCATTCATTGCCCCCGGCCTTGCCACCTGATGCCACCTGTTGAGGTCCGGTAGTGCCAGCTGCGATCTGGCGCTTGCTGTTGATGTCTGGGAGTGCCCACTGCGATCTGGCCCACTGGCGCTTGCCTTGAGGTCCGGTAGTGCGCGTGCGCACTGCAATCTGGCGCTTGCTGTCCAGGCCCGGCATCGCCCACTGCAATCTTGCGCTTGATGTTGAGGTCCGGGAGTGCCCACTGTGCTAAATTCACTTGCAGTTGAGGTCCGGTAGTGCCCACTGCGATCAGGAGCCGGCAGTTGAGGTCCGGTATACATGCCCCCTGCGATCTGGCACTTGCAGTTGAGGTGCGGTAGTCAAGGAGAAGAGGAGAGGAGGAGAGGAGAAGGAGAGGAGAAGGAAGAGGAGAAGGAAGAGGAGAAGGAAGAGGAGAAGGA